CTTAGAAATACAGAAACTGGGAATTTACGTACGGTCATTAAATCACTACAGCCACCATCATTTCAGTCTATTGTCCAGGGAATAGGTGTTCTGGGAAGTAAACCCACCTTACCTCTTTAAAAAATACATACGCAGGCTTACGTTTCACACTGTAATGAGACAACTGAGTATGCTAACCATGGAATCTAGACCTCCTTAGAAGTTATCTGCTTGCCACGATTTCTCACTCCTCCAATTCGTGTTTCCTCTACAAACTACACCAACAAGTTCATATTTTTTTCTCAGCTGACAGACACCGAATAAGGCTGTTGGTGCTATCGAACAAGAAGGTCTACATGTCAAACGACTGCTGGGAGCTCGGAGAATACAGCAGCAAATTTCGGCACCAGCACATCTCATTTCTTACAAGCCTTCCAATGCACCTGGGACTGCTCAAATCTAGGGACGTTTGTAGCCTGACCTTTTAATGTTCCCGCATAAGGCTGATACCAGATCCTTCCAAACCACCACTGGAGACTCTAGATAGCGATGAAGACCCTGATTTACAGTTACAGTTTGAAAATATTCCAATCCTGAATCCTGTTCTTTGACAAAGGATGCCCTAAATCACAGTCTGAGAGAGAAGATATGAGATGACTGAAATACTAACAAGTGAGAGCAGGAAGGGGAAGAAAATGAAGGCAGAGCAATAAATAATACACTGCTCGCATCCCTTGGAAAGTCTTTGCTGTAAAAATGAACCCAGAAATCCACCTGCCTAAATGGTATTCAGTGTTCACGGATGTTACAGCGGAGGATGCCAGTGAAAAAAAGAAGCGCTGCTACATTTTGAATACACTTGGGAGAAAAAAAGGTTTCAGCAATGAGGTCAGGGAGGAGAAGGATAATCCCTGCAGTAAATCAATACAAAAAAACCCCATCCTGAATAAGTTGGGCAGTGCACAAGAGTAAAAACGTTCAGTCCTGGATAGTCTTGGCAAGAAAGGAGGCAAAATGTAGACAATTTTATGTATGTTAAGGCTGCAGTTGAGCTCTAGACACCCAAATTTAGTTATCTCTGTACGTGCTTGGTGTTGATGCTCCGAACTCATCCTGATGGGGCACGGAGAGTGATCCAGCTGACCCTCACGCAGACAGTTACACTGGGTCGGCCAAATCACTATCCACGCTCCATTTGCTGGAAATGTTAAGAGGAGCTATTTCTCGCTCAAAGTGTAGAAGATGAAGCAGACTGAAGATGAAGAGAATAGGATTTGGATGCTAAAATAAAAAAAATTGGACAGAAAATTCACGCCAGCAGATGAGCATATTAAATTTCTAATGCCACTCTCGTATTTTGTGCATTATTCTCTATTACCACCTTGATACATTTAACATGTCATTTTCTAGAGACAAGACAGAAAGGTTTCCTATGCCTATTTCCTAATGTCATTCACCTCATCCTAAGCCTCCTATAAAAGCTGCCTTTTTATTTCCATTTTCCCTCTTTAAGATGTCTGAAGATACTTAAACTTGGTGTTCACTGGAGAGGGAATAAACACACAATTTACAACCCCATCTCCTCCATGCCTGATATGACACAAATTGTTCCCACTTTTACTTCAGGTCAAGTTTTATACTCCGCAAGTCCTGAACTTTTGCTCAGTGCTCCAGACTCATTTTCCTACAATTATACATTTGCTACGCCGTGTTTGCACACCCAAAAGGCCCTTTAGCCAGAAGGCTGAGGAACATCAGCACTGACATGTGCAAGCAGCTGGTCAGAGAGGAGTAGCTGTAGAAATGAAAAAAAAATTAAAAAAAATCAGGAGAATCTTACATATTTTACAAGATCCTGATGTAGATTCTGGATTTGTAGTACACTGCTTTCTTAGTGAGGAGTAATGCAAATTTAGTTTCAGCCAAATGCTGCTGCTCTGTTCCATTAACGTGATACACCAAGCACAGCTGTACAACTTCTCCCAGCACATTTTCCAAGCAATACTGTCTGCATAATTTTGACTACTAGACCTTTCAACGCGCTCCCTTTTCTGTCCTATACATATCTCAGATTAAGCTTCAGCTATCTACTTTTCACTCTGCACTGCGATAAGAAGTTAGGCACTTGCAATGCTTATATTGGAAGCAGAAGTGATTGATAGCTGGGAATTACCTGCAAATTGCATTATATTTTACTTACTTTTGGGCTGAGATTAGAGAACAAGCGCAGAATTACTACAGCACAACCCACGGGAGACAGGTGACTGTAACTTGACTCCTTCTAAAAATATAGCCCAAACCAGAGGAGTATCTTCCTCCAAGGCTGCAGCATACATTAACTTAAAGCTTACAATATGCTGCCTTAATTGGGTGTCCTGCCACTGCTGCTTAATCACCTTTCCTTCTGTCCTGCCTCTAAGTTGTAACACGGTGGGAGGAGGTGGTCTCCATCAACTGCGTCAGCGTTTATAGAGGGGGGGAGCAATAAAACAAAATCTGTGTCTCCCAGTCCAGCCTGCAAACTCTGTCATCCAAGACTCCTGTAAGGGTAATGGAGAAAACCAAAGAGAACAGCCGCTTCCAAAGGAAGAATGGCAAATCTAAAAGTCACACGCTTCAAAGTCATCTTCAGAACAACAGATGGATAAACTTGAGTACACTTAAAACTTGCAGTATTGTATCAATCATTATTTTAACTACTAATGTTTAAAGGGAGCCTTGATAGGATTTATTGAGAGTCCAAATAAATAAAAAATCCTGCAAGCTATAAAATCATCTTAGATAATATCAAAAAGTCAAAGAACTTTTGGGCAGCCTTTTGTTTCTGGAGACTGTCTTTATCAGTGTATCTAATAATGGCATGGCAAATATTTAAAAGAGTTTCCTCAAGTTTTACAAGTATTTCTAACAAAAGAGGAATGGAATAGCAGAGATCTATGAACTACAAGATAGAGTCACTAGATGCAAAGAAGGAGCAAAACAAGTAACAGCAAAAGGCAGGAATCTGCCAGGAAAAGAACATGCTGATGAACTGCCCGTCAAACAGCCACACATGTAAACTGAGTTTAGACTAAAACACGGCAGTATGTTGCTAGTACTCCAGCTTTTTTCCTTAAAACATGCATCAGACTGAAAGTAACTTAATTTATAGAGACATTTTTCATTTAGGCCACTGCTAAAATATTTTAACTGAGCTCCAAAGCACGGTATTTACTGCTCAGTCTATATTCCTCATACATTCCTAGATAACATTTAACCCCAGGAGCCAACTGTGAACGTTACGCTGACTCCAGCTTACTTTCTTGCCAAGAAAATGAGAAGGCAAAAAACCAGCCGCCCTAGTCAAAATTTATCTACCTTTAAAGAGAATATGGAAAGACCTCAAAGACTCAAATTATTTCAAAGATTAAGGGTTATCTGTTTGAAAACCACTGAGTATATTATGCATTTGATTGAGTTCACTAGTAAGAGTAAAAATATCTGAAGCAGAAAGAGGAAGAAGAGGAAAAGAGTTATCAGACATCATCCTGCTTTATTATTAGAAAGGAGATCCTTCAGATTAAATAAATTTATACTATTCCCACTACTGCACTGGAGTACAACCAGATACAGATATTCCAAAGATGTGTAAGAAATGGGCACTTGCACAGAATTTCAGCACTGTAAAAATTAATCCCCAGAATACTCTTGATCAACTACTACATATGAATAAAATACCCTTGAATAGAACAGTTACACGGCTGGGTGCCTGCAACTGCCGAGAGCTTCATCCCAGGAGGACAGCTGGGAGGAAAATCTGTGGGAATGGGCAGATTTCACCCTAAAATCCAGAAGAGGGGAGAAACACACCTCATTCCTTCAGAAAAGATATCTGGTCTCAGGTGATGACATACAGACACTTACATACAGAAACTCACTTGAATAAAGTCTGGCTTCTCTCATTTTGCATACAAGTAAACAAATTGCACAAGACAAAGCTCCTAAAAATAATCCCAGGTGCAGGCCAGCTTAACCTCTGCTATATTTGTACATTATTCAGGGCTCTGCTTTCCACAGTTTTAGTGCTTTCCACAGCAAGAAAACCGCAGGAACACGTGGTCGTCTGCCTTGCAGCACACAGGACTTGCTTCTCTAGACGGCTCTACTATACATTTCTGCATTTGTGCTTAAAAATGAGAAATAAGGACACATACTTTATGTTATTGAGGGGCAGCACATTAGCCATCCTACCTTGGTCACCCTGCGTGCTTTGGGTGTAACATGAAATTAGCTTCAATTGAGAAGCAGGAAAAAAGGGTGGTGAAAAAAAAAAAAAAATCACCAAATGCATCAGGTATAATAAACAAGGATGAACTATAGTTTGGGGAGTATAAAGCACACTTTTTTTTACATGCTGCAAACAAGAAAAGGTTGGGACAGTGGTATGGTCCCTGGCTACGTGAAGAGGAGAAAGCTCTGGCACTAGAAGTTGCCTTTTAAAGTAGCACACTACAGCTTTCCAAATCGTGGGTGGCTTCTCCCACCCTTCTCTTATACTACTATGTTCCAGAGGGAAAAAAAAAACCCACAAAACAAACCCAAAACCAATCACCCCAAAACATTTAGATAAGCTTTTAATTTGAAAATGGGTATTAGCCTGGTTTTTAACAGATTAAAGCGGGAGCTAATGTGGTTCAGAGGTTCAGCCCAGAAACTTCCTCTTTTGAAACAGATGTAAAGAATCTCCTAATTTGCAGTTTGTATTTACGCTTCTAGAAAACGAGTTCTGGGAACGCAGGACATTCACCCCTATTTTTTTTGTGCTTCACAGAAACTGCAGCATCAGGATACTAAAATAGCATCATTTGTCACTGAAACTGTAATCGAAAGTACACTATTATAAATCCCCAAACAGAAGCATTTATAGATTAGTGGAGCTTATCCTTAACTGAAGGTTAATGCTATGCATATGTGAATAAATACAAGAGAGAACAACTATAAAAAGTCATTTAAAAGATAGCATTCAATTTTGTCATTTCAACCTCTCTTCGTCGCGATGCCCAGCAACTTTGTTTAATCTTCCAAACCACAGCTGCCACCAGGAGCAAAGACAGGAAACAACTGTAAAGGAAAAAAAATAAAAATAGTTTATTGTCCTTGTTCATAACATAACAGCAGCTGAAAAACTCTAGCAAATCAAAAAAACTAGACTAAATGGTCATATAATACTTAGAAGTACTCTGACTGAAGATAATACAGCCGTGCAAAGTGTCTTCCACAGTTCAGTGCTCATGACATCTGGTGAGGAATGATGTACATCTATTTTCACAGAAAACTTGTTCCAAAGTTACCTATTTGACCTCCTTACATGACATCCACCGATTTTCACCAGGAAATCGGAACAGTAAGGCCAAAAGATTTAATCAAATTGGAAAAGCTAGTATTGACTATCTTTGGCGATACTTAAAGTGAGAGGATAACCCAAAAAAGAAAAGCCTTGAAAAAAGCAGAGAAAATTGATTAAGCGTATAGTAGTTGGATCCTTTTTAACTGGCTGTTGCAGAACTATAGGCATTTCTTGATTTCCTCAAATCTATATTGCTTTCCTTAAATCTAAAGAGGAGAAAAGGATTAATAGATTTATCAGCTGCTTGGGAAAATGCAAAGAAGCAGATTTAACAAAAAGTAGTTACAATAATAATAATAATAATAAAAGCCGACTTTGTTGACAGTTATGATCTTATCACACTGAATACTTAATGAGCAACTTCAAGGCAAGCAAGCTTTCTAAGATTAAAATTTTTCCGTTTGTACATCTGAACCCCAGTGAAAGCCTCTCTTATCAAGCACCGCACTGATGGGGAAGAGAAAATGCCTCCAAACCTCCTTCCCCATGCTCTAGCGTATATTTGAAGTGAGCACTTAAAGGAAGATTAACCAGAATAGATGACTTATTTCCTGAAGCGCACTATTTACGCCGACCGCTGTGCTCTGTATGCTTGAACAGGGATTTCTGCTGAAGGGGGAACCGGCGTGCCCCTCTCCCTGCCGCTGGGCACGGCTCGGTTCTCGCCGCTCTGGGGCTCCCAGTGGAGACCCACAGCCACGCAGGAAAGACTACGGTGGGAGAAAGACTGTGACCACTCAACACTCCCTGCCTTCGAAAACAAATCCAGCGCTGCTTCCAAAAATCAATCCTTTGTGTGTCCAAATTTCTTATTTCCAAACAATGCTGTGGTTTCCACCGTGCTCTCCCATCCTACTCATACAAACGTCCATGACGCCGATGACGACCTCTTCTACTTGGACATGAAGCCACTGTTGCACTGCTGACTGAAAAAAAACAGCTTATGCTGATGGACGGCATCTCATCTCACCCCACCGGTTCCCTGCTGTTCCCTCTCTCCGTAAATGCCGCGCCGTTTGCCTTACACGAGCTGTGAGGGGCCGCAGATTTTGTCCTTCAAGCACTACTTCAGCAACTGGGAATCCTACTCTACAGCGGCAAATTCTTTAGCAGAGAGTAATGTAAAGATGTGGAAGTATTTATCATTAAGAAAAGGACAGACAGCAGGAACCATTCCCCGAGATGCAGAAGGAGGAGAGCCTGCTCCTGATTACATATCACTACCCATAGCCTATATATTATGAAAACTGCATGTGATCGAGCACCAAACACTCAAGGAGCAGCCATTAGGCAATGTGATTATATTTTTCAAGCTTAGATATGTACAGAAATATGTTTTACTATCATACAGTATACGATATTAAAAAATTGGCACTTGTGTGACTTCAGCATTAAAACGTCTGCACAGCTTTTAAAGACTCCTACGGTGCCTATTTTTTTATAAATTTAAGCAGGATCATGGAGAGATTTGTTTGGCCTTTTTCATTTTAAGAGGTATGTATTCCAAATCACTTCCCCCACATTTTCTCTAAATGTTAAAATCTGACATCATTTCACTGTAAAAGCCTGGCCATTTTTCTGCAAACACAAACAGTTTAGACAAGCCCTTTTAGCGGCTATTTCATTTTCCTTTTTGAGAGGTACTGGTTTATTACTGACTTTTGCAGTAAAAAACAATGTGCCCCCATTAACTAGTAAAGCGTATACATTAAATCTTCAATTGCTATTTTGGTAAAGAAGCTAATATGCATTATTGATGATTAAGGATTTCATACCTTCAGCTTTCCCTTTCTTTCCCGAAGCTCCCTGCCGCTGTATTAAGCGCAATAGCAGACGGTTCGTACCACCTGGGAACAGTATTTCTCTCCTGGACAAGGTCACGTTTGGACTAGATGGATTTTCACTTTTGCCACACCTGAACAGGCACAAGTGAATGATGGACTAGCAAAATTTTCGAGTGCCCACATTTATCTTGGGACTCCTGTTAGCTCCCCACAGCATGAATGCCACCACATTTACTCAATGGCTTTGGTAAGCTTTTTTTTCTTCAAGCTCCCTTTTCCTCAAAGAAACCTAAGGTCTTTCTAAGGTGCAACGTTTGCTTTATCTCTGAGGCCCAAGGAGGACAGTGCTCCCTGAAGAGAAAAAAAAATCCAAAACGTATTCACGCAAAACCAGCACAGCTAAGACCATGAGCTAAATCTTTGGTCTGCTTTGTTTTCAGTAACATTTTAACACCAATGTACAAATGGAGGGTGGAAATAAAACAAAATCTTCAAGGCAGCGGGGAAAACTGTTCCTGGCTCCACATATAATTCAACCATGAAAACAACAATATTCAAAACATCTGCAGGAGTCCCTAGGACAGGCTGCCAAAGCGCAACGCCTGCCAGGCGATCGCGCCCACGTCGCGACTCCAGCGAGAAGTCTCATCTCAGGATAAAGCATTTTCAATGCAGCTTAGGTGCAATGCCTACAGCCACGGCTTGTCCGAGTCTACCTCCTCGACACCCCTTTATTTGGGGAAAGGAGATGGACGTCCAAAGGGCAGAGGAAAAAGGTCAGATGCTTCTTCAATCTCCAGCACCTCTGTGTTATAAAGACCCATTTTACAGAAATTTACCTTCAGGAGGTGTTTCTCGAGAGGTCAGGCGTACAGATGAAGCTGCTTTGTGCCATGCACAACCAGCAAAGTGAATGAGATCTCCACCTTTCTGTAGGTGACCCTTAATTCACACGTGTCTTAACAGACAGCACCAGAACCATACACACCGAACCGAAGATACATGTCAAAACATGCTGAACTCCTATGAGGATGGCTCCTTTTTAGGAAAAACGTGACCTCAGCGAGTTGTAAACGCCAGGGACGGACCTCTTATTTTTGGTTGATTTGAACACGGCCTCTCCCTACATATTCATTTACTCCCTTGGGGAAGAGAGCTAGAGTGGTTCACCTTGATCCTTATATTAAATCCCCTTTCCAAAATGCAACATTGCATAAGACTGTATGTGCCAGAGTCTTTCACGGGTTTCTCTTGCCTGCCTCACTTCTGGCACCACAGCCAAGAGTTTCTGAAGAAAGCACAGAGAGGAATTAACAATTAAGGACTAATAAAAACTCCTTCTAAAACACTCACCACAGTACCCTGTATTTCAGAGGAACAGCACCATACATCTTTGTACCGTCACAAGGAGGCAGCAAATACCCACAAAAGCTATAAAATCACTAAGGAAATATATTTTCCCCCTTGCACTACCTCCCCTTGGCAGCACTCGGGGAGGAATAAAAGGCAGCGCTTGCTTGCTGGGCTGCAGTCCATCACCTGCTGGAAGAGCCCTGGGGGTAGAGCGAAGTCAAGATCTATCTGCTGGGTTTACTCAGCCTAAACCATCCTGAAATAAGTTAAAAAGACCTATCCTCACATCAGTAGCTTTAAAGAAGCTTTTTTTTTTCCTCCATACCTTGTCTTGGAAAGCAACTGTGTAAATATGGAAGCAGTGGAAAGAAACAGCTGTGTGGAACGAGAGCCGTGTTGGAAAATGATTTGGAGTAAATGTCTACGGTTAGCAGAGTCCTGGTCAAATGCCACGCTCTGCCCTGCTCTCTCCTGAACAGCCTCAGCGATGTTTCTGCCAGCTATGAATATCCACCCGTTTCCAAATGGCTTTAAAAATAAACCTTTGCTGCAGGACTTGCTTTACCTTTTCCTTCTGTTTCTTTCTCCTCCAAAAATAATAGCCCACCAAGAGCCTCCTTCATCCCCCAAATCCACACTGTTCATTCAGGTCACCCCTCTATACCTCCCCCCATCTCAAACAACGCTTTTTTATCATTTTGCCTCATCTAGCTCTCTGAAAAGAAGGTAGAGGGGACAGAAATGTTCTTGGGCTTGTAACATCCCAGCGCAGTCTTGCAAATGTCACGTACAGGCGAAGCAGCGCATCCAGTAGCTGTCCCTCAACTATCAGCTGCTGGATTTCCATTTTCCTAAGGCCAATGATAAGTCCAGTTTGAGAGCAGTTCAATTTTTCCAAGAGAAAAAGAGGAAACCAGAAAACTCAGACGTGAAACCAGATGGGAAGGAAAAAGAGCCACCTGGAGACTTCTAACACCCCCGGAGAGTTTTTCACCCCAGGGAAATTTGAACACGACTCCTCACTGGGGTCAGGTTCTACCAAACGCAGCTTTCGTTGGCCTATACGAGTTATAAAAGTTTATACTTATGCAGCATAAATCTTGCAATACAGGGAGAAGTTACATTTACATTTTATGGACAATATTCTATTTGATAAATAGCTTAATTAAGTAATTCTTAATTATTTACTAGCTTATATAAGTACAATAAATGAGCAACATGGTTGTAAGTAATCTCCCCTCAGCTGGCCTTAACACGTGCATTAATAGTTAGCTCATAAGCCTTCGGCGCTCTTTATACCATAGGGTATTCCCACCCTGACACAAAAATCTGAACTTAAAACACCTCGTCTGGTTTTATTCTGTACTCTAAGCTCCTTTTCATAGCAGAAAGGATATCCTCTCTGCTCGAGGTATCCTTAAAGCTCTCCAAGCAAGTACCTTCATTTTTAAATGGCTGGAAAACTTCATCAGCACTTTGATATGATGCATTCTCACAAGGAGAGAAGAAAATCCATCTGGTGTATTAGGGCCCAATTATTAAACTCTCCTACAATGTTTATCAACATCAGAATTGCT